TAAGCATGGACATGATTTAATTATTGGTTTTACTACTATTATTTCTACAGCGCCAATATATTATGCAGGGTTATACAAAGCCAAGCTTTCTCCAACATGACTGGCTTGCTCTTCGATACAATAACATGACAAACAGACTGGGCTCTTAAAATTCAGTGAAATATAATAGTTATCTGGTGCAAGCTGCAATTAACATACCATTTATTGTATACTGAAAGTGGGGTCCAAACCACTCCCAAAAGGAATTTTGTAGAACTCTCCAGCTAACATATAACCAACATATCATGTATCCAAAAATATCCAGCTAACCTTAAACAAACAAAAAAACAAAAATCACCTCCGTTCTTTCTCCGAGTCCAAGTTCTCACCGCAGCCTGATCCTCCTTGCCTCAAAGAAGATCTAGGAATACAGACTAAGGGGAGGACATGGGAGGCACGGAAGTTAGATTCATACAGACATCGACTGTCTGGCACGTCAGACGCCAACTTTGCACTGAAGTGACATCAGACAGCTGGAACTTTGTCCTGAGATGGCTAATGACACTGCTGTTGGTGGAGTTAATTCTAAGAGGTTCATCTTTGTATGTGCAGCGTTTCAAAGCACTGCACATACAGACTCAAATAACCATTATCCCTTCAAATCAGTGAAGTGGTCATGGTGCTTGGAGTATCCTTGTCCGGTGTTCTCACATTTCTCCATGTTTAAAAAAGACGGACAAAAAAAAACTATTGAGCAAAGACTACAATAGCTCATATTAAAGGACCACTATAGTGCCAGGAAAACATACTCATTTTCCTGGCACTATAGTGCCCTGAGGGTGCCTCCACCCTCAGGGTCCCACTCCCACCGGGCTCTGGGGAGAGGAAAGGGGTTAAACTTACCTTTTTTCTAGCGCCGGGCGGGGAGCTCTCCTCCTCCGATCCTCCTCTTCGGCTGAATGCGCATGCGCGGCAGGAGCTGCACGCGCATTCAGCTGGTCTCATAGGAAAGCATTCGGAATGCTTTCCTATGGACCCTGGCATCTTCTCACTGTGATTTTCACAGTGAGAAGCACGCAAACGCCTCTAGCGGCTGTCAATGAGACAGCCACTAGAGGCTTTAGAGGCTGGATTAACCCATTTATAAACATAGCAGTTTCTCTGAAACTGCTATGTTTATAAAAAAAGGGTTAATCCTAGAGGGACCTGGCACCCAGACCACTTCATTAAGCTGAAGTGGTCTGGGTGCCTAGAGTGGTCCTTTAAAGCAATGAACCCCTGAAACTTGACAGACATCAATGTATCCCTGATCACTTCTAAAGTACCCCACAGTGTAAAAGTATAAAATTAGAACCTCTGTGATAGAGTCGTATTGAGGTTTAATATTAAAAGTAAGTTGCACTGAGTGGACAAAGAAAGAGAAAGATATTTTTTTCCAACTCCACTATCGATTTTGCAAGATTATTTAGTGAGTTATTCAGTTATCTGAATGTGATTTTTTTTTGGGGGGGGTGGGGGAGAGCGCACTTTAATGGAAGTTGTCAGATTGAATCAATTAAAAATAAAATATTATGTATTATGTTCTTTTTGCTTATTAACGCATAATGAACACACTTAATTTTTCTTTCTCTAAGGGAGAAGCCACTGTTGTCATCATTGGGCTGAAACACAGCTAGTGTGCGTTAGTCTGAGTCTGAGAATGCGGACACATTGCATAAGAACTGAGCATGTAAAAAATGCACTCGAGCGTGTTTCAACCATTTCAGCTATGGCAATGATTTAAAAAACTTTACAAAAAAAGGCTTTAAAAAAAAAACCTAAAAAATAAACTTTTCTTATTATTTATTTATTGACGTGACCATTTTTTGTAGATGAATAATTTTGAAAATGTTTCTAACAGTCTGGAATCATTTGGAAAACATATTAAACTGAGGACTATGCCCGATATTAAAAAACAAATAGTGTTTCTGACCAAACAAGGCTAAAAAAAGGCTGTCTCAATAAAAAAAAAAAAATTTTAAAAAGAGAAAAGTGTTGCACTAAAATTAGGTATTAATTTATATTCATTTGCTACAAAAAAACACAGTGAGGCTATATTAAATGTAACAATTTATTTCGGTAACAATAATATATATATATATATATATTTATATATATATATATATATATATATATGTATATATATATATATGTTTTCCTTTAAATACTTCACCTAATATGTATCACACTGGTTAAAAATCCATTAGACATTTTGAGAATTGCCTGTTGATTCGCACAACTTTATCCAACATGTTTCATATGAGCAACAGGGTGCAATGTATCACTGCAGCAAATCCATACATGAAAGCTATGACTTTCACCATATTTCACCACACGTTTTTTCGTTTGAGTAACCTGCCAAGAGTACAAATTACACAATGAATGATTTCTAATAGGACATTTAGATTCTGGTGTCACTCTGAATTAGCACTCTTTCACAAAAAACTGAAGAGGATGATGTATCTGGTTTTGTTAAAACAAGGTGGAACAACTGTCAGCCTCATATGGCCCTGAGGGACAGGGAGAGGGGGCATGTTTTTTTTGTTGTTGTTTTTTTTTAATTCTGAGTTAACAAATAAAAACAGCTCTTGCTTAATGAGACTATACCAGACTCCCTCAACAAACAGCAAGTGCTAAACTTGTCGCTTTTTTGGCGTCTGTCTCAGGAATGCTTCTTAAGAACTCAAGGGATTAAATGAAATCGCACCTGCAGACAGACACTATAATTCGACAGAAACCCAAGTTCTCAAAGGAAAATTGCTTTCATTATCTGTCCTTAAGCTAAAATCTTGGGCTGTGGAATCTGAAAATTACAGCATCACCAAATATACTTAAAAAAAAAAAATGCTTAAAAAGTCAGGGCCTCACGAAAGACTTTGAAAAGAGATGCTTTCAAAGGTTAAATTCATGCAGGTTTATTGCCTGAACAGCTCTAAAGAATTAACTCTCTTTACACACATTTAGGTAAAGTACTCTCCTGTGTGGAATGCAGAGCTGAGGATATTAAATAGCATTCAGCAGTCGCCCTCTGGTGCGAAGAATGGAGAATGATTGCAAGGCCATAAATGCTCTTGAACTAAGCACATAAAAGAGAATCAAGTTCACACAACTACAAAGGAAATGTCACTTTAACTGAAAAAAGCGGCACTTCAACAGGACAACGTACAGGTTACAAAAAGGTGTAACCTTTTTTATTTTTATTTTATTTTTTTGTGCATATATGCATTTTTACTATTTTTTTTTTAAAAATTGCACAGCCCAAAAAAATAAAAAAATCTGGTAAAAATTCTAAGGGATGCATGTGAAGGGTACATTTGTACTGTTTAGCATTTATTTATTCTAAACTGAAACCTGTTTAAGGGGCCAATCTAAGCACCAATAGCACTTTGCATTACTACAAAGTGAATAATGCTCAAAGTACCCTGTGCTCGCTTTCATATGTGAGACTGGATTATACCAGCAATAATTTGAAAAAAAAAATGTTTCCACTATAAGACAGCCCACCATGGTTGTCAATCAGGCGCAGTAAGTCATTAAGTCCAGGGTTGTCATAGTTAATTTTGTTCCTATTGTGCATCAATTTTATCCTTATTAGACTGCACACAAAATCTCTTGCCGAGCCAGTTACTAAAACAAATAAAAATAAATATATACACATCTTACATGCTCCAGTGATCTCAGAATGGACATTGTAGCTAATCTAAGGCACTTTGATCCCCTGACATCACATCTGAAATTAGACATTGGTTACCAGGCATGTGCTAAGGTGAATGCACACATAACACACCCCTACCTCGTTGCTTTGTTTGGTGTAACAGGGTGCCAAGTCAACCAGATTCCCAGTGGCTTTGAGAGTCATTAGGCTTCACTTATTTTCATTACATAACACTTAAGGTAACATTGCTAAGCTTCTGGACTTGACCTTAACAGCCTCATGCAGCTATTGGTTGAACCTTTGAACCAATGCTGGCCAAGGGTAGTTCACTGCTTATTGACATATCTAAGGTATGGTTGTAGCAGGAGTCTAACTTATGAAGTACAATACCATGAAATACTACAATCCGGACTGCGACCATATATGTGATGCTGTCGTACTAGTTAGCGAACTTGACTCAGGAAGAGGTTATGAGTATAGTAGATTTTTGGTAAAGGATGGCAGAGTTGTCCGTGCCAGACTGTCGAGGAGTCTCAGTAATCCCCATATGCAGTTGCCAAAGTTGAAAGTTGCCAAAAAGATAGTATAGCAAAGTTATGATCTTTTACCATCAACAATGGTATATAGAAAAGTGAATGAAGGATTTATATAGTAAATTACAAGCAACCATTGGCCAGTGTACTTTTTATTTGCCCTGAGTACTGTACGTGTCCTTGTCAGTGCACAATTGATGCTGTGGAACATGCATCTGGCAACCGGCACATGCCAAAGAACTTAGAAAAAGCCATAGGGGGATAGCATGCTGTACAACCATGACATCAGAAAGATGAACCTTCTCATTATGAGGCTTGCACAGTTGACAGTCTGAGCCAGAATCGCAGGTAAGGTAACAAAGAAAATAACATTTAATACTAATATAATCCTAAAGGTACACTATAGTCACCAGAACCACTACAGCTGAATGTAGTGGTTCTGGTGTCTATAGCCTGTCGCTGCTGGTTTTTCAATATAAACACTGTCTTTTCAGAGAGGGGGCAGTTTACATTAACAACAACCAAAAAGAAGGGGAGGTGTACTAAACACCACCCAAATCAGTGGAGCGTGTAAGGTGCATTGTAAAACACCTAACCTTGGCCAGTGACAAGGATATATCTCTGGGAAAAAAGGGAATGAAAGCAAACGCTAATAAGTGTAAAATCATAGGAAGCTTGGATATACAGAAAAAGTGTACAATTGTCTAACTCACGTGGAACAGAGCCTTCCAAGATAGGCTCAGATGACATATAAGAAATATTAAAAATGGTTTTGAACCCGAACCCCGCACCACATGACAGGCTCAGCAACCTCCTTAAGCATTGTGGAGACGGGAGCCTACAAGATGGCAGATCTCTCTGACACGACAGTGTCGGACAAGCGACTGCAACGATATGTTGTCGAGGACACCAGGGACCACGCAAGAGACTCCCTTACAATAATCTTTGACCGCTTCTGGGCCAAGTTAAAGGCACGTTTACAGCCTGAGGTGCCTTGCCAAAAAATGCCCACACGGGACAGAGCCAATGGCGGATGGACGCCTGAGAGTCCTTCTCAAGGCAAAACTAAGACCCACGTGTCAAACTCCCACGTCCAGGGCCCTCCCGGGCTGAGAGCAACAAGGGGCACACCCCAGAAAGGCCGGCCACACCGGCAGAGAGCAGCAAAATGCATACTTACACGGTCTGCCAAGACTTCCCGCGCCACCCTGAAAGGGACAACCCTGGACCACGAAGGTTCCCAGGCTCATGGCCTACGAACACCAGCTCTCACACAGCTCTGGGGCAGGAGAGGATTCCCGCCTCCAAGACGCCGTGGCTCTACCCAGCTGAGACAGAATCCCGGCGTGAATCACAAGCCTGGAAAGCAATTGACAAACAGCGGCAGCTGGGCCCGCAGCAGGAACGCTATAATCGCGGTGCAAGCTAGAGGAAGGAGTTCCACTACATGCCGCATCTGCACAGACACCCACCCTTACGGACTGTGCCCAAAGAAGAGCTCCGGTAATGCAACGTTACATCTCACCGTGCCAGACTCGACTGAGGACCGGTACCTGTCGCAGATCAGCAGGAGGGGGAAAGGAGACACCATGCCGTGCCATAGAATGGACTACCTATTAAAGCATATCAGTGGCATCGGGTGAAGGTTTGCAGCTACCCCCATTCCGGCCACCAGCCTGGTCACAGTGCAGGACTTAATACATACTCACATAGCTATAATTAGCTAAACGCCCAGAGATACAACCATTCCTTTTCATTTAATTTGTTTTATTCATTTAATTTGTTTTATTAGTTGATGTGCATTTAGAAAGTACCATAAACTTGTTCCAGCACCCTGAGCATATCAGACCATTAACCCTTGCTGCCTTGCTTAACCTGATACTATGGGTTTTACCATGCAAGTAATATTTAGCATTGCCTAAACCAAAAGTCAGCCTAATATGTTACTCACGCTTATCTTGTACCCAGACTGACCTAAACTACATAGCTTAATTGCGCTACATGGCCTACAGTGACAACGAACAACCCTTAACTCATAGTCCTAAAAGTGTTTCCTTTACTATAGACCCAGGGATACCTGACACGTATTCAATGTATGAGATCCCAATTCAGAAGGTTATACTCTATATAGTCAAGCTACATGCTTCCCTTTACTACAGACACTAGACAGCCTTTGTAACTCCTAAGGCAAACTACTGGTTACCGCCTGACTATATATCTGGACATAACTGTTAGCTTGATGGAATGACATAGCTGTACTTCCCTTTGAAACATGCATATTCTACCTGTTTAACGCATAAGGGCATTCCACATGATGTCACATTATAATCTCTATGCGGACTCCCGATGCACCACTCACTCTGCTCTCTACAGCATAGTTATTTACATGCACTGCCAGCGAAGACCCTACTGGTTTTCTCCTGACAACACATGACAGATATGATGAACCTCACTATACTGCATGTGAATTTAAGCCTGCCTGATGTTTATCCTGTGCCTATTATAATATAACATGTGCACTGCCTAGCTACTACCCTAATTGTTCTCTATGCTACGAAGTTCAAGGACGGCCGTTGGGGTACCTCAAGCCTGCTTGTATTCAGTATATGCACTGCAAAAATATATATATATATATATGGTTTTGAAAAAAACATAGCCTTTCACCCATTTCAAATATAAACACAGTAATGACCCTAAATAATTGAATTGTTCTGGTATTCAAAAGATAGACATCAATTGGAGAGTGGAAGATATTACCAAAAAGATGGGTCAGCAGGAGATGAAGTGGGTTTTCAACTTGCATATCTTAACTTCTTTTGACCTAAATAATGATTTTGAGCTATGCCATTTTTTATAATCATGTACTGTCTGGAAGAATCATACCATTTTTTGTATGGAAAGGCTGAACATTCCCCATATAGATACATTCCTGCAATGCACCTCAATGAGAAGGTGCAGATTGGTGCAGTGCAGCGTTCTGTAGTGCATGTACAACAGCTTCCGAATGCTTTCCTACGGTATGATCTCAGCCATGGAAGCGGAACCAGCCACGGTAAAACTGGCACGGCGGTGGAGAAAAGGTAAGTTAAAAATGTTTTAACTCCACAGAGAAGGGAATCCAGGAAGCTAAACATGTATTTCAGCACTACAGTGAATATATTTATATTGCTGACACTATAGTGTTCCTTTAACCCCTTAAGGACACATGACATGTGTGACATGTCATGATTCCCTTTTATTCCAGAAGTTTGGTCCTTAAGGGGTTAAACAAAAAAAATATTATTGTATAGCTGTTTGTAAAACTGCATAAATACTAACATTTTAACAAACGTTTCACATTAATAGACAGTTAATCACAAGATTCACGGAGGTCTAGAATATGGAAACCCTGTATTAGGATGTTCCCTTCACTACGATGACAAGAATTATATCTCAGTATGTTGTTAATTGTGGCAGGGGACAATGGGTTACATGCAGCCTGCATTAATTACTGTAACTAACTACTAAGTCAGTTACAGTAAATGAAAATGAGTGCAGGATTCTCCCAGAACACAGTTTGCCAACAGCATCCTGTGTCTTCATGTCTCTCTCTAGCTGTTTTTCTGACCACCTACCACGAGATGCTGGTAAACAGGACAGAGCAGGATTCTCTAACCACAGCAGAGCCCCAATACTATTTTGGAGACAAGGGAAAACTAAAAGTGGTAAAAGCAGGAAATTGAAAACAAATAAACTTGTATTAGTATTCTGGGAAAAAAACAATGACAGAGCCAAATCTGTGATTTTATTTACCAGCCTATCGTCACATTTATGTAGAATGACAATAATGTTCTATACCTTGGGGACTCAAAGGACATTGCCACATAGGTTTTCTGTTTTCAGATTTTGGATGTTGTGGGCATTCTGCTTTGTCTCACTGAAGTGGTTATAGTATGTGGGTACCTCTGTAGCCATTCTTGCATTCAGAGTTAACATGCTTTTAATGTTGTAATGTTAAAAGATAGTCCTAAGCAACCCATCAACTCTGTGCAGCTGGAACTAAATGCAGCTATGGTTGGCTTAGAGTGTTTGGTATGGCTAGAAAGAAGTGTTTTATATCTGCCTTAACCATACCTACAGTATGAGCCAATCTGTGGCTGACCAGGGAACCTTATTTATTGTTAAACTGCCCAATAAAAAGGTTTAGCACTGAATGGAGGGACAGACCCTGGGGACTCCAGACCCAATAACCGCTTAACCAACCAATAATATGAAACGGTTATACTTCCTACAGTGTCTCTTTAAAAATGTAAGCATGTGTTCCAGGGACCACACATTTGACAACATTGTCGAAACACTCTTAAAAACTAAAATGAGTTCCTCATTAATTCAGCAGCTTCTTACCTGATACCTTGAGGATGGTCCCTCACTGGGGCCGGCTGGTGAATGGTGAATGTAGCTCGGGGGGCTGGGGCTAGTCTGTGGTTCTGGGCGGTCGTGCCATGCCTGAATATGTTTCTGGAGTCGTCGCACTGCTCCAGACAGATACATAGTTGGACCCGATTCGGCAGAAAAAAAACAGATGTTGATGTATGGCACACAGTTATATTGACTTGGAAAACCCAATACTAGATTGCTAAAGTCTAAGACCAAATCCTGAATGTTACTGTCACAGTTTTCTGTATTTCATTTGCTTGAACTGTGCTTTATATAACTATATTGTGATAAATAAAGAAAAAAATAAATTGTAGACTGTTAATATTCTCTGACAGTTCAGTAACACATTGCTTGATTCCTGAAGAAATGGAATGGTAATGAAGACAAAAACCAACATAGACAATACACATCAACATGGTGTTGTTGAAGGGACCACAAAGTTATATAAAACACACACAAAAAATGATACTGTAAAGTCCCAAAAGCTACATTTTTTTTGTGCATTGTCACTTAGCTCTGGAACCAGGCTGAGAGCTGTATGAAAGAGGGGAGACTGTGTGTGTCTGTGTTTGTTGGTTGAGTGTTATGCCAGAAATTTGTCTGTAGAGGAGTCTAAGTGTCGTGTGTATGTAGGGGGAAAGTGAGTGTGGCTGAGTGTTGTGTGTGCCTAGTGTCAGTGTTCCTCCCCCATTTCCTTTCCCTGATGGTCTGGCGATGCACACAGAGAGTAGAATTCATGGTTGTCAGCTGGGGAGCATTGTGGATTGCACCAATATCAGGTACAGACCTGAGACCCCTCCAAGTCTGGCACACAGTCAAAGAGGGCCGACTATAATGCTCACAGTCATTAAGAAGCTTTGTGGCTAGGGAGCACTTAAATTGGTCTGCTCCAGATACCAAGATATTAAAATATTTTAAAAAATATTAAATTATTTAAAAAGCTTATCCAAAAAGATAGGCATGTCTATCTTGATAAAGCCCACAGGAAGCGGGTGAAACACGTTGATATTGTGAGTGGCCCTCCAGAGCCTCCAGGTTACTACCGTGGGTTGGGGTCTGAGCGTACCTCAGATTATCAGTGTTCGCACCTCAGGCTTCCGTTGGGAGACAGACCCATGGATCGATAACATGCCAATAACACTATTGTACCAGGCTGATGTTATGGTTATTGGAAACAACACCACGTTTACTTATGTAAGGGTTCTACTTGGGGAAGGGGTTTTTCCTGGAAATAAATTGTGCAATATTACACAAAATGTGCTTTGCTGTGTCCTTTTCAAGGTACCCTATGTGTATACATTTATTGGATACAAATGATGAGTTACTTTTGGATACAATTTTGACTTGTATATCCTCTGACATCCCTGAACGTTTTAGCATTAATTCAGATATGCACTGAGTGGTTTAGAACTCCTATCATATAAGTTTATACAATATCAGTGACACCCTGAATCAGGGGGAGTATTAACTATATAGACTGAGTACGATAAGATAGACAGAATATAGCAGAAAAGAGATAGAGAGCAAAGGATAGAGAGAGAAAGGCAGTAGCTGCGGAGACGCAAGTAAACTGGCACTTTTATAAATTAACCTTGTTACACCCCCTGGCTTTCAAGCAGACAACAGGTCCTTTTACTTCCTGGTTTGTTTAGCTCAGTGAAGCTAAACTCTAGAGGCAGCAGTTGCCCAGAGCACCTGCCTTGCAAAACCTACTGATTGAGCTGCATTGGGAAGTCTGTGATTGGACAGCCACATAAAGTCTGGAGTTAGAAGGGGGGGGCTTGCACGGGTATCAGACAAGAGAGCATCGGGCATGCAACCTGGTTTTGACACAACCCCAATTTAAAAATACACAATTAAATGCATGCATGTTTTCTTTTGGGGTATGTCTGCAAAACTATGATTTTTTAAATTCTATTTTTTTTTATTTGGGCAGTGCAGTGTCCCTTTAAATTTGCAATTCACTTTGAATTCTTATTTTAGTGAATAACCCTGAATGTTTCTCTTACTCCTCCTACTGATTGTGTGCCTTGACAAAATTGGATTGTGATATGAAACGATAAATATTTCATTTATATTTAAAAGAAAATGGGACATCACATGAAGAAAAAAACAAAACCATTACCAAAAGGTATTGGTGAATTCACTGCGTTAAAGAAACAATTTCCACAGATTCTCAAAATACAATACATAGTACAGAATGGAAGCAGGTGGAGCCAAAATACCA